GACATGCATCTCCCCTCCTGGGAGGATCCTCCAAACATCCTTTATTTGGTGCTCCCTTCTCTATCTGAACTGCCCTTTCCTCTAGGATACCCGGCTGGCCTCTAAGTTATGGAGTAATCCTCCTGGTGCTGATCTCAGCTATTCTTGGGTATTAATCTCTTACTTTGTTACTTTATATCCCCCAGATGAATGCAATCTTTCTATGTCTATCCCTCTCTTTCTGACTCATTTCGCTTAGCATGATACTTTCCATATTGTACCACTTGTATGTAAATTTCATGACTTCATCTTTTCTAAGAGCTACATAGTACTCCATTGTGTAGATGTACCAAAGTTTCTTTAACCAGTCATCTGTTCTTGGGCACTCAGGTCTCTTCCAGTTTCTGGCTACTGTAAAGAGTGCTGCAATGAACAAACAAGTGCAGATGTCACTTCGGCTACACATTTTTGGACAGGCCACTTTAAGGCTGAGAGTCAGCGGGCCTAAGTTCCAGTTTCCCCTATGAGAAAGTCCCGAATTCTCAGAAAACAATATCACCCTGGGCAGATAAACCGCCCCGTGGCAGCAGCCTATTGGAGCAGGGGACATAGACAGTGGCACCCAGGTAAGTAGAGAGGGCCGAGGGAGTGGAATCACACGGACTGGACAGGGACCAAGAATTGGAAACATAATGTTGGTCCCTGGAGTCATGGGACCAGACAGGGTCCAGAATTGGAAACATATTGCTAGTTCCTAGAAAAAATGCTGCTATGTAACCAAACCCTATATACACTGCTTAGAATTTGGAGTCGGGGTCCTTGTCAAGACTCCACTGCGTTGGGTGAGACTCGGACCCTAGCTCGAGCTAGCAATAAAGGGACCTTGCATTTGCATCCTCTCGTATGGTCTGGTCAATGTGCGAGTGAAACTCCCTCCCCGGGACATAACAGAAACAAACACCCTGTAGGGACCCCAAGCACCATCAGAGTGATCCCTGAGTGCAGAACCAGGACTAAGCCCTGAGTACCAACCCGAGTCCATACCAACCCGAGTGCGATAGCACAGAGGTAGGGCGTTTGCCTTACAAGCGGCCAACATGGCCGACCCGAGTTCGATTCCTCCGCCCCTCTCGGAGAGCCCGGCAAGCTACCGAGAGTATTCGATATGCCAGACACAGTAACAACAAAGTCTCCAATGGAGACGTTACTGGGCCCGCTCGAGCACATCGACGATCAACGGGAGGGCCTTTACCTTTTATTAAAAAAATAAAATAAAATAACTCTCTGAAATATTTGATGCTTGTAAGCCCAACCCAACAGTCGTGGAAATCACACAGCGGCTAAAATAAAAATAGGACTTCAGAGCCGGAGCCATAGTAAAGAGTTGGGTGCAGGCCATGCAGCAGCTGACCCAGGTGGGACCCGGGATTATATCACAGGGTTCCCTGAGGCCTGCAGGGCTGATCCTTGAGAGCAGAGACAGGAATAGACCCAGAGCAGCACTGGATGTGGCCTTCAAACAAGCATAAATACATAAATACAAGAAACATGACGTCACTTGAATTTTATTCCCCCACTAGATTCCCTCCTAGGACAAGATTCACAAAGAACAAATGGGGGCTGGAGGAACAGCACAGCGGGGAGGGCGTTTGCCTTGCACGCGGCCGACCCAAGTTCGATTCCCAGCATCCCATATGGTCCCCTGAGCACCGCCAGGAGTAACTCCTGAGCGCAGAGCCAGGAGTAACCCCTGTGCATCGCCGGGTGTGACCCAAAAAGAAAAGAAAACAAAACAAAACAAAACAAATGACTTCACAGCAGCGAGATTACAATATCGGGGGGGGGGGGGGGGGCAACCACAGCACAGTGGGGAGGTTGCGGGCCTTGCATGTGGCCGACCCAGGTTCGATCCCAGCATCCCACAGGGTCCCCTGAGAACCACCAGGAACCGATTCCTGGGGGCAGAACCTCCAGGTATTCCTGAGCATCATCAGTGTAAGACCCAACTGATTTGAAAAAGAAATGGCTTTCCCCGGAGGTTTTGGAGGGAAATTGAGGCAGGGGATTGCACCCAACAGGGTCTCTGCACCATCGAGGTTTCTTTCCCGCAGGCTGGTGGGAGACAGAGTGACAATCCCGGAATAGGGTGGGAGATGGGTTCAGAGCTTCTCCCCAGCGTGGGTCAGGCGAACGTGCCTGTGCAGGACTGTAGCCCGGCCAAACCCCTGCCCGCAGTGGCACACAAACGGCTTCTCCTCCTGGTGGCTCCTGACGTGCCGGCGGAAGTGCTTGGGGTGGCTGAAGACTGTGCCACACTCCCCGCAGGTGAGGGGCTGGTCCGCCTGGTGCGTCTTCAGGTGGCCGTAGAAGTAGGAGCGGCAGCGGTAGGCCTTGCCGCACTCGGGGCACTGGAAGGGACTCTGGGTCGTGTGTGTCACCTGGTGGACCTGGAGGGTGTCCAGGCAGCGGAAACCTTTGCCACACTGCGGGCACATGTAGGGCCGCTCGCCCGTGTGGATGCGCTGGTGCAGTGCCAGCGAGTGGCTCTCCCGGAACGCCTTCCCGCACTCGGGACACTCGTACGGCCTCTCCCCGGTGTGGGTCCGGCTGTGCCGGCGCAGCTTCCAGCTGGACGTGAAGCCTTTCCCACACTGCTGGCAGGCGAAAGGGCTGACACCCGAGTGTAGCTGAGCGTGGGCACGCAGTTGATTGGAGGCAGAGAAGACCTTCGGGCACTCGGGGCACTTGTAAAGCTTCTCGTGGGTCTTGGCGTGAGCCTGCAGGTACGTGGGGAGGCGGAAGCCCTTCCCGCAGAGCTCACACTCGTACGGTGTCTCTTCGTGGTGCTCCTTGATGTGACGCGTCAGCAGGCTGGCGACACGGAAGGTCTCCCCACACACTTTGCATTCGTGCGAAGTCGGACTTGGAGTGACAGAGGCCCCCTGAGGGTGTCGCCCGACGGCACCCGACTTGGGAGAGGGGGTCCCCCGGGTGGCCGGGTAGCAGATGCCCCCCTGAGCCAGGTCACTCGGAGGAGAGCCGTGAGGAGGTGCTGGGGGCTGCCGGGGGGAAGAACATTCCACAGAAGAGGCAGCGACAGGACTTTGGGGTGCAGGGAGGCTTCGAGTCTGCCTCGGGGTTCTTGCGGCTCCCTGGGGAGCTCCATGACTGTCACCAAGACTGTCCGGCAAGAGGCGTCTGCCAAAGACACACACACACACACACTGAGCAGAAAAGCAAGACCAGCCCGACTCCCGCAGCCACAGGACAGTGGGAGGGCGGGGACGGTGAGTGAGATGGCCCAGGATCCGTCCCCTGCACCCCATCAGGTCCCCTGAGCCCCACCAGAAGTGATGCCTGAGCACAGGATCAGGAATCCTGGAAATTCTCAAACACAAAATAATAAATGAATATCAACAATCAATCACCACCACCCTTGGTCATGAGTGATCTTTCTGTTTCGGTCTTTTGGTTCGGGGCTGATTCATTTTTTTGTCCTACTTTGGGGCCACACTCCACAGGGCTCGAGGTTTACTCCTGACTGTGGACTCAGGAATCACTCCCAAGCAATGCCTTGGGGGCCCAAACCCGTGCTGTAGATTGAACCTAACGACTGTGTTATGGCTTCACTGACTGTAGGGCTTTCTGAATATTTCTCTTAATAAATGTTTGATTCATCTTTCATCAAAGCTTTATACGCAGGCCCCTCTTTTAAGCCCACAAAGGGTGGGGTGGCATGGGGGGAGTTGGAGAAGGGACTTCTCACCCAGAAGGGTCCTGAGTGGAAACCACGTAAGAAGCCAGCGAGGGCTGCCAGCCTTGTCCGCAGGACCCTCCCCTTGCATGACGCCGACTGACAGTCAATCCCTGGCACCCCAAGGCCGGCAGGGAGGGATTCCTGAGCACAGAGCCAGGACTCAGCCCTGCTCACCTCCGGGTGTGGTAAATGAACGAGGCCCACGAGAGAAAGTGTGACGGCGACACTAATTCAGTCCCTGTACTAGTTTGACACACTAGATCTGGGAGATTCCCAAGACGTTCCCTCCCCCCTCACATACTCCCCCGCCAACACCAACTGCTCCCGCTTTTCCCTAGACATGCTACTCACTGCTGTTGACGTTTCTGCGTTTTCTGCCGGTCACCAGCATCAGGGAACATGCCCTTCTCTCCAAAAGCAGTCCAGGCATCACTGTTGATCAACCCCACGGTGCTGTCTTCACTGAACAACTTATTCTTCAAGACACCTCTAAAAGCACCCTCTGGAACAAGCAGGAAGAAAATTCAGTCCCACAGGGAGACTCTAGGGAAGGGCAGAGTGATAGAACAGCGGGGAGGGCGCTTGCCTGGGATACAGCGGAACCCGGGTTCACTTCCCCAGAACCCGACAGGCTCCTCTGAGCAACGCTAGGCATCAGCCCTGAGCATCGCCAGGTTTGAAAACCAAAGAAAAAGATTCTTTGTGAGGACAAAAAAAGAACTGGGATAGGCCTTATGCTGCTGGTTTTCTTCAACAGAAATGAAAGTAGCTGCCTTGAATGAGGTGGGTCACACATCTACACCCCATGGCGTCCCCTGAGCACGGACAAGAACAGAGTCAGGGGTCAACCCGAGCACCTCCGAGTATGGGCCCCGTGCCCCCAGGAAGAAGCTCCAAAGTAGCACAAGGCCTGGCATGCTTGGGGCCTAGAATATAATCCTGGGCACCACCTCCCTCACCCAGTACTGCCAGGTACGGCCCCGGGGCCCTGAACACTGGGAGGACCAACCAGCACCGTTAGGGTCACAGCTAGAGCCAGAGGTGCTGGCAGTGACCCTGACACCCGACTTCATCCCTGAATCAGAGAAAAGGCAGTTAATGCATGAACTGCTATTTGACTGCCTGGGAAAACCCTGCGCCTGGGCCAGGGTGCCCAGAGACAGGCCCCTCCTTCCCAACAAGCCCCATTCCGTGGCCCCAACGGGAACGCAGGCAGCGGGCTCCGTGCCCTGAGCTGCGGGGAAGGATCGCGCCTCAGCCTCACCCACGAAGGCCAGGTGCCTGCAGGCCTCCAGCATCACGTCTCTGTACAGGCGCCTCTGGGCCGGATCCAGCAAAGCCCACTCGGCCCGCGTGAAGTTCACGGCCACGTCCTCAAAGGAGACCGACTCCTGAAATGCACACAGATGCCAATCAGCCAGGCCCCTCTTTACACCCAGGGGGACTCAGAAGGGACAGTAGGGTCTTGAGAACTAGTTTAAACCCCCAGGGCCCCTGCGGGAAACACCAGGATGTGTGCGGAACGCAATGGTCATTGGCAAGTGCTGGGAGCCATGAGTCACAACAGCGCCCGGCTCAGACATGAATGGACAACTCTGAGGGGTCTGTCGAAAAGAGGGACAAAGGGACAGGGCTGGAGCGAAAGCACAGCAGGGAAAACAATTGCCTTGCACTCGGCGGACTTGGATTCGAACCCCGGCACCCCTTGAGGTCCCCAAGCACTCCTAGGAGTGATCCCCGAACACAGAGAGAGCATCTCTGCGTCGGATCCCAAAAACAAAAGCAGGGAGTGACAAAGGGAATCCTTGTTCAAATAAATGCAGAAACCGTCAGCAGCCTGCTTGGAGTGCAGCCTTTCCCCTGCACCCCCAAGAATTGGTGGGAGACCACCGCACCCTGTGGAAAACCCACTTCACATTACAAAGACCAAGACCAAGGTTCCTGTGATACGCTGATGCCTAAGAAGAAGCTTCTGGGCCACTCCTCAGACCCCAGGAGACTCGCTGCTCAGACAGCAGCGCCCGAGAGACCTGTAGGATTCCCTCAGAGCCGGGAGAGATCCTGCTGTCTGTCAGTGCAGCATCAAGGGGCCTAACAAAGGCCTCCAGGAAGACTTGCCTATGGGGCAGGGGCAATGGCACAGTGGGACGGGCGCTGGCATTGCATCCTCCAACCCAGGTTCGATTCCCGACATCCCATAAGGTCCCCCAGGACCCCCAGGCGTGATCCCTGAGCTCAGAGCCAGGGGTCAGCCCTCAAAACTGCTGGGTGTAGCACCAAGACAAAAAGTAAATAAACCCCCAAAGATCAATGATTCATCCTTCATGTTTGCATCCTGAATGCCCCCATAAGAACTCCCCGAAAGGGGCTGGAGCGACAGCACAGCACGTCGGGAGCTTGCCCTGCACGCAGTCGACCCAGGTTTGATCCCCCAGCATCCCATATGGTCCCCCAAAGACTGCCAGGAGGAATTGCTGAGCCAGGAGTAACTCCTGAGCATCGCAGGTGTGACCAAAATCAGAAAAATTTTAAAAATTAAAAAAAAAAACCAACCCCCCCCACCCCCAAGGTAGGGCAGAAATAGCTTCTGGGTAAAATATCTGTATTTGATCTTGAGCACAGACCCCATTCATTCTCCTCAGGCCTTGTCCTCTCTGGGAAATGAGGGGAAGGACATTGAGGACAGTGGGGAGGGCATCTGCCTTGCTCGTGGTAAGAGCAAATTCCATCTCTACTATCCCATAGGGGTCCCAGGTTCCGCCAGGGGTCAGCCCTGATCACACAGCCTGGAGTCAGCCCTGAGCACCACCGCGTGAGGCTCGAAGACAAAATAATAATAATAATAATAATAACACAAGGGGCTGGAGCGATAGCACAGCGGTAGGGCGTTCGCCTTACAAGCGGCCAACATGGCCGACCCGAGTTCGATTCCTCCGCCCCTCTCGGAGAGCCCGGCAAGCTACCGAGAGTATTCGATATGCCAGACACAGTAACAACAAAGTCTCCAATGGAGACGTTACTGGGCCCGCTCGAGCAAATCGACGATCAACGGGAGGGCCTTTACCTTTACCTTTTAATAATAATAATAATAATAAATAAAGAAATGAGGCCAAACTCACCATCTTACTTGAGCAGGTGAGAAGTCAGGGCACAGCGGATCTGTGCATGAGAAGAAGCTGCTTGGGGAAGCTTCCAGACTCGCTGCAAGAAAAATAACCAGTACGTTAGTACCACCGCAGATTCACTCTAGAGACAGGGTGGGTTCTTCTGAACGGATCTGCAAAGTTCGGATGCTTGAAAATTTCACTGAGGCCTGAGAGATCGTAGGCGGGGAAGGTGTGACCACCCTGTTTGATTCCAGGCATCCCATAAGGTGCCTGAGCACCGCCAGGAGTGATTCCTGAGTGCGGGGTCAGTAGTAAACCCTGTGCATTTGCTAGCTGTGGCCTAAAATCATAAAAACAAAACAAAACAACAAAAAAAAGTTATTCGCGTTTGGGGTTCCTGAAAGGATCATAAGGCGATTTAAGGCACTTGTCTTGCAAGCAGATGACCCTAGCACCCCAACACCCTACTGGGTCCCTGATCCTGGATAGACAGCCTGGACCTGAATCCAGAACCCTGCCACAAGTGATACCGGACCACAGTGCCCGAAGGAAGCTAAGCATTGCCCGGTGTCCCCCCAAGATAAAAAAATAAGATAGTTCATGGGGCTGGAGAGAGAGCACAGCGGGTAGGGCATTTGCCTTGCACGCGGCCGACCCGGGTTCGATTCCCAGCATCCCATAGGGTCCCCCGAGCACCGCCAGGAGTAACTCCTGAGTGCATGAGCCAGAAATAACCCCTGTGCATTGCCGGCTGTGACCCAAAAAGCAAAAAAAAAAAAAAAAGACAATTCAAGGGGCTGGAGCGATATTACAGCAGGTAGGGCATTGCCTTACACGTGGCAGACCCAGGTTCAATCCCCGGCATCCCATATAGTCCCCGGAGCACCGCCAGGACTAACTAACCCCTGAGCATCTCTGGGTGCGACCCAAAAAGAAAAGAAAAAAAAAAAAAGAAAGAAAGTGGTCGGTCCAGAAGCCTCGGGTGTGACGTCACTCAACCCTCCCCCTCCCCCCCTCCCCTGCTCCCAGCCTCCACCCTCACCTGGGTCCCCGATGACTCCTTTCTGGCCACCTGGGCGAACTCCTAGCCCGTCTTCTTGCTCCCTGCAGCGCTTCCTGACCTGGGATCTGTCTGGCTCAGCGCCTCTGCCCAGGAGCTGACGGTCCCGCGGGTCCAGGGGCCACGCTGGGCAGAGCTCAGGGAGCCCAGAGCAGGTTCGGGGCGGGGCCTCCTTCCTCCCGCGGTTATCTCCCCGCCCCCAGCCGCCCATCCTCGACCTCTGATTGGATGACGGTGAGGGCGGGTGGGATGAAAAGGGCCAATCAGGTGCATCCTAGAGGACCGGGCGCCCCACCCTTCCACTCTCATTGGCTCACATCCTATCAGGCCCAGGAACACACCCAAACAGGCTCTCTGCTGAGATCCCAGAGCAAGGCAAGGCGGCCTTTGCCTTGCACACGGCTGACCTGGGTTCGACCCCCGGCACCCTCCCCACGAGATCCACACCAGGAATGATCCGATCCCTGAGCGCAGAACCAGATGTGCCCCCCCAAAAAATAAATAAATAAATAAATAAATAAAATCTAATCAGGGTGCCTGGGATCATCTAGACTGGCCCACCCACTAGGGAGAAAATCACTCCGGCTCCTGGTCTCCAGGTGTGAATCAGAATGTGAAGAAGCGCAGCTTCCTCACACAAGGTTCTGGGTTGGGAGCCGGGCGGAGTGGGAACCTAGGACCCTTCTCAGAGTTCTCTGGGGGAGGCGGGGAGGTCACACAGGGCAGTGCTCAGTGCTCGGGAATAATGCCTGAGCCCTGCTGGGTGTAACCTAAAACAAAACAGAAAGTTTATCCGACTAAGAGTGCCTGTGGCTTTTACCAAATGGCTGCGGATTAGAAAGTGCTGGAAGGTCTGACCTCCAGCAACCCAGACCCAGCAGAGTCTGGACTCCCCACAAGTACCAGAAAGAGCAGCACCGGGACCCAGATGTGAGATGGGGCCGTTTAACAGACCCAGAGTCGCCTCTCACTAGGCACAACAGGAATCGGGAAAGAGCGGGGACTGGAGAGAAAGGCCAGCGGGAAGAGCACTGGCCTTGCATGCAACTGACTCTGGTGCAATTCCCAGCAACCTCTAAGGTCCCCTGAGCAAAGACAGGAGTGACCCTGAGCACAAAGCCAGGAATAATACCTGAGAAATGCTGGGTGTAACCTAAAACAAACCAAAAATAGGATTTATTACACTGAGTGCCTCTGGCTTTTACCAAATGGCTGCAGGTTAGAAAGTGCTGGAAGGTCTGACCTCCAGCAGAGTCCGGACTCCCCACAAGCACCAGAAACAGCAGCACCGGGACCCAGATGTGAGATGGAGCCGTTTAACAGACCCTGAGTTGCCTCTCACTAGGCACAACAGGAATCGGGAAAGAGTGGGGACCCGAGAGAAAGGCCTGCAGGAGGAGCCCTGGCCTGGCAGGCGGCCATTCCAAGTTAGATCCCCGGCACCCATAGGGCTCCCTGACCACTATCAGGAGTGGTCCCTGAGAATTTCCAAGTGTGGGTTTCCCCACCCCCCCCAAAAAAAACCCTCAAAGTTGTTTTCAGAAACTCCAGGGAGCAGGGATGATAGTACAGTGTTTAGGGAACCTGCCCTGCATGTGGCTGACCCCAATTTAATAATCCCCATCATCCTATAGGGCCCCATCCACCCAGGAGGGACCCCTGAGCACAGAGCCAGGAGTCAGCCCTGGAAACATCAGGTATGCAACTCCCCCTTGACAAAATGAGAAACCCTAGCACTCAATGACTGCAGTCAGGCCAATCCACCCTAATCATCGGGTCTGGGCTCAGGTTTTCCCAGACCCTACAAGCCTGTATGTAACTCAATGTGGCCCTCATTTCACTGCAACTCACCTGAGTTAGCCAACATCCAGGAAAAAAAATGAAAGAGGTTTATTACAGTTTCAAGGGCTACATGGAATGGGTGGACAGGCAGCACGTTCTTTGGAGAAGATGCACACAGCACAGAGGCTGGGGGACTCTGCCTTTCGGCTCTGGGGTCACTTCCAGTTGCTCTGGAAGAGGGGTCCATGAGATGCCCGGGATCGAGCCTGTGGTGGCCGCGTGCCAGGCCAGCGCCCTCCCCGCTGCACTGACTCTCACACCAAGAAACTCCGACCACACTTGCCGAGAGAGCAAGTCGTCCCCTTGGCACAGCGACCAACTCCGTTTCTCACACACGAAATCTCGGCACGCGTAGGGGCAATGAAGGGGTCTCTCTAGCTCCAGAGGGAGGGGGGTTCTCTTCCCCCAGGTGCAGGGGTGGGAAAATAAACCAAAATGCTTCGACTGGGAAATGAAAACACTGACCTTCATTATGGACGGACATTTATTGTAGCGTCAGTAACGGCTCCAAACGTTGACACAGCAGGAAATGCAGATACACAGGTTTAAGCAGCAAAGAGGGTTATTGTCCAAATGACCCGCCACCTTTGTTTACCAAAGTGACCAAGCTAATGTGACACTCTGACATTAACAAAATTTTTTTTCTTTTTTTGCTTTTTGGGTCACACCCGGCAATGCACAGGGGTTACTCCTGGCTCTGTGCTCAGGAATTACCCCTGGCGGTGCCCCGGGGACCATATGGGATGCTGGGAATCGATTCCAGGTCGGCCGCGTGCAAGGCAAACGCCCTACCCGCTGTACTATCACTTTGGCCCCTATTTCCAGAACTTTTTTTTTTCTTTTTGGGTCACACCCGGCAATGCACAGGGGTTCCTCCTGGCTCATGCACTCAGGAATTACCCCTGGCGGTGCCCCGGGGGACCATATGGGATGCTGGGAATCGATCCCGGGTCGGCCGCGTGCAAGGCAAACGCCCTACCCGCTGTGCTATCCCTCCAGCCCCAATAAATATTCTTCATGAAGAAAAATAAGCTTCTTCGAAGCCCAGCTCTGTGAAGGGATCCTAACAGTGCACTGATCGAGACCAAGCCCGCCACCCCTCTCCCTGCCTCCGCTGCTGGCGATTTTTCACACCCAGGACCCTTGTCAGAGCATAAGCCTGGCCTTTCAGGGCCGCTTTGAGGTCAGCTGTGCTGCGGGCATCTTCACTGTGGTCAGTGCCAGCTTTGCTTCCATCAGTGTCCCCAGAGCAATAAGACAGTGGGCAGGGAGCCCAGCTTGCATACGGCCAACCCAGGTCGATCTGCAGCACCCTGTAGGGTCCCCAAGCACCATCGGAGTGATCCCTGAGTGCAGCACCTTGTGCTGGTAAACCCTCCCTGGGACAGTAGTGGAAATCACTCACGGTCACGGTCACGGTCACGGTCCTCCCGTTGTTCATCGATTTGCTCGAGCGGGCCCAGTAATGCCTCCATCATGAGACTTGTTGTTACTGTGTTTGGCATCTCGAATACATCACGGGGAGCTTGCCAGGCTCTGCCGTGCGGGCGAGATACTCTCGGTAGCTTGCCGGGCTCTCCGAGAGGGGCGGAGGAATCGAACTCGGGGCGGCTATACTGGCCACTTGCAAGGCAAAAGCCTTACCCGCTGTGCTATCACTCCACATTAGCTAAAATAAAACTTCAGAGCTGGAGTCAGAGGAAAGAGGAAGGTGCTGGCCATGACCCGGGTGGGACCTGGGACATATCACAAGGTCCCCTGAGGCCTGCAGGATTGATCCCTGAGAGCAGAACCAGGAAGCTGCCCGGAGCAGTGGGAGAGTGGCCCCCAAACAAAGATACAAAAATCAAGAAACATAACGTCACCTGAATATAATTCCCCAGTAGACTCCCTCTAAGGATAAGGCTTTTCAAGAGACACAAATGACTTCACAGCAGCAAGATTAAGGGCACTGGCCTAGCATGTGGCTGACCCAGGTTCGATCCCGGCATCCCACAGGGTCCCCTGAGCACCATCTGGAGTGATTCCTGGAGTCATTCCTGAGCATCATATGATGTGGCCACAGCAGAATTTGGGGGAAAAAAAAAAAAAGGTTTACCTGCGAGTTTTCAAAGACGTGGGCTCGAGGGACTTGACTGTTTGGTTGCCAACTGTTTGTTCTGGCTGACAACAATCTCTCCTCTTACGGCACAATTACAGTCGTAGTTCTGGTCATCATAGTTCCATCACTCTAGTCTCCTCGTAGACCTCAAGGTCTTCTAACCCTCTCACCCCTTACAGCATAGTTACACAGAAATCATGAAAGGTGGGGTACACATAGGTGGGGCTGGACATTTGTCATAACAACAGAGGTAAAACCACTCCTTCAGGAGTTTAAATTCTAGGAGATTAACTCAAAGACAAAATCTCATCTGAGTGTTCAGCACTCCAGATTACTAGGAGATCTGCTCAAGGGTGGGATTCCCCCTAGGGTGTATTGCTTTCTCCTTTCCTCAGCTAGCAATCCATTTAACCAATCATAGTACATTTACTTCTTATATTTCTGGTCATTTTAGAGAGATATTGAGCTTCAAGGGTGGCTCTTCTTGGGGACATCTCACTACATATCGCAGACTACAGTCCTCAGGTCAGGGTCCTAACCCCAGCAGGGTCCTTATACAGTTATTTCTTTTTGGGTCATGACAGAGTTGTTCCAGGACCGTGCTCTGAACTTATTATACCTCTTATAGCCCTTAGAGCTTGTCCCCTTTTCAATACCAGGGTCGCTTCCAGCTTTCCCTGGATCCGTACTTTTCCCTCACTGGAATCCTCCTTTTGGGAGGTGTTAGGAAGTAAGGGCAACTGAGGCTTAGGTCAGGTAAATACAATGGCTGCCCAGGAGTAAATATTATTCAGAGTCAACTCCCATGTGACACAAGTGACAGTAATCTTGAGAGCATCCTAATTCCCTGAATTCATCTGTACCTTTCCTTTGTATTTCACCTCTCATTGTCACAGTTCCCCAAACCAATCTTGGTTACTTATAAGACAAAACTTCCTGGTTAATTCTGGATTTTGTATTTGCAGTGAACTACTTGCTTTTCTATTCCTGCGGTAGCCTTTTCATAGTTTACTGTACAGCAATGTTCTTCGCTTTAAACAGAAAGACCTTTAATGGTATGCTCCAAATATTTAAGAGTTGATTGACTCTGAAATATATCTACTCCTACTTTGTCATTTGCTCGAGCGGGCCCAGTAACGTCTCCATTGGAGACTTTGTTGTTACTGTGTTTGGCATATCGAATACTCTCGGTAGCTTGCCGGGCTGGAGCGATAGCACAGCGGGTAGGGCGTTCGCCTTACAAGCGGCCAACATGGCCGACCCGAGTTCGATTCCTCCGCCCCTCTCGGAGAGCCCGGCAAGCTACCGAGAGTATTCGATATGCCAGACACAGTAACAACAAAGTCTCCAATGGAGACGTTACTGGGCCCGCTCGAGCAAATCGACGATCAACGGGAGGGCCTTTACCTTTACCTTTACCTTTACTTTGTCATAATCACTTGACTGGGACTTCAGTTGCTGTAACACCCAAATGTGAGATCCCGCCGTGGGACTGGGATGGACCCGGGGTGAGTGGCAAAGCTACCCCGGCATCGAAATGGGACATTACAGAAAGCATAAATGCATGGTCTTGATGCAAGCTCTTACCACCTAAGAGACAGGACCCCCAGTGGGGAAGGACAAGCTGAACTGGCCTGAGGACTTAGTCTGGGATTTATGGTAAAAGCCTGGCTTCCTCTCAGAGCCCAGAGAACTAAGTGTTGGGATCTTTATCTCTTATTGTATTTATCCGAATGACTGCAGGTATTGGTAAGAAGTAGAACTGTTTGACTGTTTCACTTGTGTGACATATACGACTAGAGGGACAGAGAGAAGCAGTATAGATATGCCTGGGAGACAGAGTGTCTCCTTGAGTTTATCTCGCCCAGAGGTTGCCTCAGCTGGAATGTTCTCCCTCTATAAATCACACGGACATGCCGTCCTACACCTCTGAACCATTCAGATGTTCTAAAAGTATGCTAGCAGCTCTGCATTAAATGAGACATTTTCCCCATCAGGCTGTGGTCCCCGTCTCTGTCTCTGCTGGGAGGGTGGGAGGCGGCCCTTGGCCACCTAATGTGCACACAAGTCACAGCACCCGCGCGCTGCCTCATGAACTCACACAGAAGCACGGCATCAACCGTCTCCCTGTGTCTACACCAAAAGGACACTTGCTAAAAGCCATGTAAGTGACAAAAAGGAGAGACAAAAGCAATATAGGATTATTAGTGCTTGATGAATGAGTGCTTGGTTGTGCCTCAGGGGCACTGTTGTGGGAGTAACTCGATAAGCCTAAGCTCCCTTGCGGGAGGGGCAAGAACAACCCAACAGTTCATTCATTCATTCATCATCCTGTTAATCGTCGATTGCCTCGAGCAGGCCCCAGTAACTCTCTTTTATCCTAGCCCTGAGATTATATTCAAGGCTTTTTAGGAGAATGAGACCCATCATTGTTACTGGTATTTGGCATATTTGGTGCACCACGGGGAGTTTGCCAGACTCTGCCCTGTGGGCAGGCTATATTCGATAGCCTGCAAGTTTGTCCAGATGTTCTGATAAGATGACGCGTGGCCGCAAATGCGGCCGCGCGGTTCCAGGAGCTGCATTTTGTAGTCTCTGAGTCTTGGCCGCTGATGGGATTACACGGCGCCAGGGGGCCAGGTGGTGGGTGTGACCCCCGCCTACTGGAATTTGGAGGATCTGGGTGAAGGATGCTCGACTCCAATTCGAGTAGGCTTGGAGATCTCGGCCCCGGAACCCGCGTGGCTTTGTCCCTCTGCCAGTACCTTCATGTGTGCGGAGAGTGGTCTCAGCATGGTGGTGGCTGGTCCTGGAGGTCTTCGGCTGCTGGAGCCCTGGTCGGGGTGGGGAGGAAAACTCAACCCGCTCCCCTCCAAGGGACCCCGGTGAGGAACAGCCAGGCGCAGGGGCAGGAGACTGACTGCCCAACAGTTATCCAACATTTACCCAGACTTTTAGGGGGGTGAGAGAAACTGAGGCAGGGGATTGCACCCAACAGGCTCTCTGCACCACCGAGGTCTCTTTCCCGCAGGCTGGTGGGAGACCAGGTGACAGTCCCAGCACAGGGTGGGAGATGGGTTCAGCGCTTCTCCCCAGGGTGGGTCCGGCGGACGTGCTTGTGCAGGGCTGCAGCCTGGCCAAACCCCTGCCCGCAGTGGCACACAAACGGCTTCTCCTCCTGGTGGCTCCTGACGTGCCGGCGGAAGTGCTTGGGGTGGCTGAAGACTCGGCCACACTCCCCGCAGGTGAGGGGCTGGGACTCCCGGTGGCTCTGCAGGTGGCCGTAGAAGTAGGAGCGGTCGCGGTAGGTCTTGCCGCACTCGGGACACTGGAAGGGACTCTGGGCCGTGTGCGTCACCAGGTGGCCCTGGAGGATGTCCAGGCTTCGAAAACCTTTCCCGCACTGCGAGCACGTGTAGGGTCGCTCGCCTGTGTGGATGCGCTGGTGCAGTGCCAGCGAGTGGCTCTCCCGGAACGCCTTCCCGCACTCGGGGCACTCGTATGGCCTCTCCCCGGTGTGGGTCCGGCTGTGCCGACGCAGTTTCGAGCCAGTCCTGAAGCTTTTCCCGCACTGCTGGCAGGCGAAAGGCCTGACGCCCGAGTGCACCAGAGCGTGGGCACGCAGCTTGCAGGGATACTTGAACCTCTGGGGGCACTCGGGGCACTTCAAGGGCTTCTCCAGGTCAGTGTGGGTCTTGGCGTGAACCTGCAGGTACGTGGGGAGGCGGAAGCCCTTCCCGCAGAGCTCACACACGAACGGCGTCTCCTTGTGGTGCTCCCTGACGTGATGCGTCAGCAGGCTGGCGACAGGGAAGGTCTCCCCACACACTTTGCACTTGTGGGACGTCCGTCTTCGGGTGCCGGTGCCCCGCCGACGGCGTCGCCTGTGGGCACCCGGGTTGGGAGAGGGGGTCCCCTGAGTGGCTGGGCAGCAGATGACCCCCTGAGTTTGTTCACCTGGAGGAGAGCCGTGGGAAGGTGCTGGGGGGTGCTTGGGGGGAGAACATTCCGCAGAAGAGGCGGGAACAGGACTCTGGGGCGCAGGGAGGCTTCGGGTCTGTCTCGGGGTTCCTCCGGCTTCCACGGGAGCTCCGTGACTGTCACCGAGACTGTCCGGCAAGAAGCGTCTGCCAAAGCAGAAAAGCAAGACCAGCCTGACTGCCACAGCCACAGGACGGCGGGAGGACAGGGACCGTGCATGAGGCTGCCCAGGATCCGTCCCCTGCACCCCATCCGGCCCCCCGAGCCCCTCCAGGAGTGATCTCTGAGCACAGGACCAGGAGTCAGGCCTGGTACCACGCAAAAACAAAATAAATGAATATCAATCAATCAATCACCACCCTTGGTCATGAGTGATCTTCTTATTTCTGTCTTTTGGTTTGGGGTTAACTTTTTTCCCCCTGTTTTTGGGCGACACCACGGTGCTCAGGGTTTACTCCTAACTCTGGACTTAGGGTTCACTCTGAGTCAAGGCTGTGGGGATGTCATTGTTACCGTCCCTCGGTGATGAGGGTCTCCGGGTGTTTTCAGGGCCGATGACTGTCCCTCCGGCCAATGGCGGAAGGGACGAGGCCATGGCTGGTAAATCATAGTTGGTAATCCGTGGCTGTTAATTCTAATCTCTCCGCGTTACCATGGAAAATCAGCGTAGGGTTGGGGCAGCAACTACACATCGGTGTGGCTGAACATTCACAGAAACAACGCACCGACGCAAAGAAACTCCAGGGCAAGTCCCTCTAGGAGATGCACCCAAGGTCAGGGAAGCACCCGGGGTCTCTAGCACATGAGAACCCACTCTGGATTCCTCGTAGGAGACCCGACAAGGGTGGGATCCATCCAAGGGTGCACTGCTTTCTCCTCTCCTTTGCTGGTAATCCACTGAAACAATCCTATTAAATTTACTTGATAGGGCTGGAGCAATAGCACAGCGGGTAGGGCATCTGCCTTGCACGCAGCCAACATGGCTGACCCGAGTTCGATTCCTCCGCCCCTCTCGGAGAGCCCGGCAAGCTACCGAGAGTATTCGATATGCCAGACACAGTAACAACAAAGTCTCCAATGGAGACGTTACTGGGCCCGCTCGAGCAAATCGACGATCAACGGGAGGGCCTAGTATTCCCAATCATTTTGTATGAGCCCAGTGAGAGATATCGGCTTTTACCTATACCCTAGACGGAGCTTAAGGGTGGTTTCCCTGGGGACATCTTGCTACATATCCCAGACTACAGTCCTTAGGCCGGGTTAGTTTTTCCTAAGCCGAAGAGGGCCCTAATTCAGTTACTTCTTGTTAGGTCACGTCAGAGTTTGTTCCACGCCCGTGCTCTTAATGTATCATACTACTTATGGCGCTTAGGCTGTCCCTTTCTCGAAACCAGGGTAGCTTACGGCTTGCCCTGGGTCCATCCAAGTCCCTTGGTGCAACCCGCCTTTTAGGGTGTCAGGAACTAAGAGCAATCTAAAGGCAACTAGGCTTAAATCAAGTAATTATGACAGATGCCCAGGAGGAAATATTATTTGGAGTGCATTCCCTCCCATGTTACGAAAGCAGAGCAGTCACTGTCTTCCAGTGTCTATACAAAAAGGAGATTGCTTTGAAATAAACTATACCTGGGGCTGGAGCAATAGCACAGCGGGGAGGGCGTTTGCCTTGCACGCGGCCGACCCGGGTTCGATTCCCAGCATCCCATAGGGTCCCCTGAGCACCGCCAGGGGTAATTCCTGAGCGCAGAGCCAGGAGGAACCCCTGTGCATCGCCGGGTGTGACCCAAAAAGAAAAAAATAAATAAAATAAAATAAACTATACAAAGGACATAAAGGAAAAAGAAAAGCAGTATTTCATTTACGTATACAAAAATGGAGCCATCATGGGGCTGGAGCGATAGCACAGCGGGGAGGGCGTTTGCCTTGCACGCTGCCAACCCGGGTTCAATTCCCAGCATCCCATATGGTCCCCCAAGCACCACCAGGAGGAATTCCTGAGTGCATGAGCCAGGAGTAACCCCTGTGCATGTAACCCAAAAAGCAAAAAAAAAAAAAAATGTGGTGCCAGGGATGGAACCCTAGCCACAAGTGCTCTAGCTTCAGACTATATTGAACATTTCTCTTAATAAACGCTTAAGGGATGGGGGGGATGGGGGGTGGGAGGGATACTGGGATCCGTGGTGGTGGGAAATGGGCACTGGTGGAGGGATGGGTACTTGATCATTGTATAATTGAAACCCAAGCACAAAAATGTGTAAGTCTGCAACTGTACCTCATGGTGTCTCACTAATAAAAATTTTTTAAAAATTAAAAATAAGGTAAAAAAGGTAAAGGTAAAGGCCCTCCCGTTGATCGTCGATTTGCTCGAGCGGGCCCAGTAACGTCTCCATTGGAGACTTTGTTGTTCCTGTGTCTGGCATATCGAATACTCTCGGTAGCTTGCCGGGCTCTCCGAGAGGGGCGGAGGAATCGAACTCGGGTCGGCCATGTTGGCCGCTTGTAAGGCGAACGCCCTACCGCTGTCCTATCGCTCCAGCCCAAACATTAAAAATAAATAATTAAATAAATAAATGCTTAAGGGGCTGGAGCGACAGTAGAGCAGGTAGGGCGTTTGCCTTGCACGCAGCCAACCTGGGTTCGATTCCCAGCATCTCATATGGTCCCCCGAGGACCGCCAGGAGTGATTCCTGAGTGCAGAGCCAGGAGGAACCCCTGTAAATTGCCGGGTGTGACCCAATACAGCAAATATATATATATATATATATTTACTCATCAATATCTCACAAGCCATTTTTTACCTATAAAAGGTGGGGTGGCATGGGGGATTTGGGCAAGAAGGGACTTCCCACCACAAAGGGTGCTTGGTGGGAACCATTCAAGAAGCTGGTGCAGGCGTGGCAGCATTGCCAGCAAAGAACTCGCCTTGCATGCAGCTGACTCGGGTTCAATTGCTTGCACCACAAAGGGTGGTTGTGGAGGCCCACAAGGAGGGATTGCTGAGCAGAGAGCCAAAGGTCAACCCTGAGTACTCCCAGGGTGACAGCCCCCCCCCAAATAAAAATGGAGGTCCCCTATTAATAGCATAAAGGCCGACACTATTCAGTCCCTGCACTAGTTTTACACACTGGTTTTGCATTTTGCAGTCAGCGGAGATTCCCAAGATGGTCACCCCCTCACCCTCCCGCCCTCCCCTGGTCACGCTACTCACGTCTGTCTCCGCTTCTGCGTTTGCTGCTGGTCACCAGTGTCAGGGAACATCCGCCTCTCTCCAAACCCATCGCAGGAATCGCTGCCCATGAACCCCACCGTGCTGTCTTCACGGAACAACTTATTTTCCAAGATACCTCCAAGAGGACCACTGGCTTTTCCACGAACAAAACCCTCTGGAACAAGCAGGAAGACAATTCAGTCCCGCAGGGAGACTCTGGGGAGGGGAAGAGCAATAGGACAGCGGGGAGGGCGCTTGCCTTGGACACAGCTGACCTGGTCACTCCCTGGCACCCGATAGGCTCCTCCGAATTATGCCAGGCATCAGCCCTGAGCATCGCCAGGTGTGTAAACCAAAGAAAAAAGATTCTTTGTGGGAACAAAAAAGAAGTGGAATAGGCCTTATGCTGCCAGTTTGCTTCCACAGAAATGGAAGCAGCTGCCTTGAATGAGGCCAGTCAGATTCCCGCAACCCACAGCATCCCCTGAGCATGGACAAGAGTGTCCCTGAGCACAGAGTTAGGGGTCAGCCCCGAGAACCTCTGGGTGTGGACCATATGCCCCAAAGAAGAAGCTCCAAGGTAGCACAATGCCTGGCATGCCCATGGCCCAGAATATAATCCTGGGCACCACCTCCCTGCAGCTGGACCCCGGGTGCAGCCCTGAGGCCCTGAACACTGGGGGGACCAACCAGCACCGTTAGGGTCACAGCTAGGGCCAGAGGTGTTAGCAGTGGCCCTGACACCCCGCTCCATCACAGTGTGGCCCCGAATCAGAGAAAAGGCAGTTAAGGCGTGAACCCGGCTGCCTGCCCAGGAAAGTCCCGTGCCTGGGCCAGGGTGCCCAGAGACAGGCCGCTCCTTCCCGGCAGCCCCATTCCGTGGCCCCATCAGGAGCGCAGGCAGCGGGCTCTGTGCCCTGAGCTGCGGGGAGGGGTCACGCCTCAGCCTCACCCACGAAGGCCAGGTGCCTGCAGGCCTCCAGCATCACGTCTCTGTACAGGCGCCTCTGGGCAGGATCCAGCAAAGCCCACTCGGCCCGGGTGAAGTTCAAGGCTACGTCCTCAAAGGAGACCGACTCCTGAAACACACACAGATGCCAATCAGCCAGGGCCCCTCTGCACCCACCCCCCAGGGGGCAGGGGCACTCAGCGGGTGACAGTAAGGTCCTGGGATCTACCTGAAACCCCCAGGGCCCCTGCGGGGAACACCAGGATGTGTGCAGAATGCAATGGTCAGTGGCAAATGTTGGGAGCCACGAGCCACCACAGCGCCCGGCACAGACACGTATGGACAACTCCAAGGGGTCTGTCGAAAGAGTGACAGAGGGACGGGGCTGGAGCAGAGCACAGCAGGGACGACACTTGCCTTGCATGTGGCTGACTCGAATTTGATCCCCGGCACCCCCTGGAGTTCCCCACCACCTCCGGGAGTGATCCCCCAAGGACAGAGCCAGGAATAAGCCCTGAGCAGCACCAAGTGTGACCCAATAAACAAAAAAGGTGTAGGGGGTGACCGGGGAGCGTGACAAACCAGCATCAGCCTGCTCAAAGACCAGCCTTTCCCTTTCACGCCCCAAAATTGGTGGGAAGGACCTCGATGCATCATGTGGGGAAAACCCACTTCACATTACAAAGACCAAGACCAAGGTTCCTGTGATAAGCCGATGCCTAAGAAGAAGCTTCTGGGCCACTCCTCAGACCCCAGGAGACTCGCTGCTCAGACAGCTGCTCCTGGTGACCCCGCAAGATTCCCTAAAGGCTTGAGGGGAAAAGGGCTGTTTGTGGATGCAGGACTAAATGGCCAACAAAGGTTCGTCAAGAGACTTGCCTATGGGGTCGGAGCAAGGGCACAGGGGGAAGGTTGCCGGCCTGGCACACACAGGATCCCTGACATTCCATAGGCTCCCCCAAGAACCACCAGCCATGAGCCTGAACACTGTCGGTTGTGGTCCCCAAACCAAAAATAGTGGATCACCAAGGGTCAATGATTCATTCTTCCTGTCTGCATCAAGGAGTCCCCGTAAGAGCCCCCAAAGGCAGGGCAGGGACCATTTCCAAGGGAAACACCTGGACTTGACCTTGAGCACAGACCCCACGCCCCTCGCCTCTGGCTGTCATCGCTGTAGCCTATCTGGCTGCCATCAAATCTCAGCCTTGGAGCCTGGAAGGGTTGGGGGAGTGGGAGTCACCACGGTGGTGAACCCCACCCCAGAGAAGACTGGAGGGGTGGTAATTTCCCCCACTATCTGCAATATAGAAACTGCAAAGGAGGGGAAGGGGGGGTCAGGATAATGGGGAGCACGCTGGGTTCGATCTCAGCATCCCCTGTGGGCCCCCAGCCATGCCAGGAGTGACCTCTGAGCACTGTCGGTTGTGACCCCAAAAAAACAACGGCAATGAAAGATTTGACATCATCCAAATACACAGGCCACCAGACCACATTTGTGCCGTGAACGAAACAATCCCAAGTGCCCACTGCAATCCTCACCCAGCAGACGGGGCTGCGGGGGGTGAGGTCAGCCCCTTTCCACTGGCTGGTCCACAGGGAGGACCTTAGGGTGACACAGGCTGAGCCAAGGTGGGCATCACGGCCTGTACAGAGCTGAAACCACTCACAGCCCTGCTAGCCGGGGCCAGGATATGGTCGGAAGCTCAGCACAGAGCACCAGGACTGGTGCTGGTCGGGGGAAGAGTGCCCGGAGTCACCCACCTACCAACCGACCATGGAGACAGTGACTTAGAGCCTTGCCAGGAGTGACCCCCTAGTATGGAGTCCGGACTTAGCGCTGAACACAACTGGGTGAGGCCCAAAGACGACACCATCATCATCATCATCAAGGAATGAGCTCAAACACACCATCTTTCTTGAGCAAGTCAGAAGTCAGGGCACAGCAGGTCTGAGCATATGAAGAAGCGGCTGGGGCGTGGCGGGGGGGAAGGAGCTTCCAGGCTCACTGCAAGAAAAATAATGTATGTTAGTACGCATGCAGTTACTCCTGAGCATGCATGGGTTCTTCAGAACTAATCTGCAGACAAAACTAAGATATTTAAGAAGTTCAATTTTATGGGGATGAAATGACAGAAGGCAGGAACCCAGAGTGATAATACAGCAGATAGGGCGTTTGCCTTGCACGTGGCCGACCTGGGTTCAATCCCCGGCATCCCATAGGGTCCCCCAAGCACCGCCAGGAGTAATTCCTGAGTGCAGAGCCAGGAGGAACCCCTGAGCATCGCCGGGTGTGACCCAAAAAGCAAAAGAAATGACAGAAGGCAGACAGGGCACTTCAGCTGCATGCAAGGCAGAGAGGGCACTTGCCTTGCATGCAACTAACTTGGGTTCAATTCCCAGCACTCCAGAGGGTCCTCTGAGCAAATTCAGGAGTGATCCCTGAGCACAAAGTCAGGAATAATCCCTGAGTAGTGCTAGGTGTAGCCCAAAATATAAACAACAATAACAAAAAGTGATTAATAAAGAATGCCTCTGACTTTTATTCATGGTCATGCAGGTCAGAAAGTGCTGGGGGGCTGGAGAGATAGCACAGCAGGTAGGGCGTTTGCCTTGCACGCGGCCGACCCGGGTTCGAGTCCCAACATCCCATATGGTCCCCTGAGCACCGCCAGGAGTGATTCCTGAGTTCAGAGCCAGGAGTAACCCCTGTGCATCGCCGGGTGTGACCCAAAAGGCAAAAAAAAAAGAAAAGGGCTGGAAAGTCTGACCTCCAGCAATCCAGACCCAGCAGAGAGTCTGGACTCCCCACAAGCACCAGAAACTGCAGCACCGGGACCAAGATGTAAGACGGGGCCGTTTAACAGAGTCGCCTCTCACCAGGCACAACAGGAATCGGGAAAGAAGTGGGGCGGAGAGAAAGTCGGGGAGAGGAGCACTGGCTCTGCTTGCTGGCGTATGACACGGATTAGATCCCAGGCACCCCATGGGTTCCCTGAGCACTGTGTCAGGAGTGATCCCTGAGCATCACCAGGTGTGGCCCCAAAACCAGAAAAAGAAATCGGTAAGGACAGTAGCCCACCAAGGGTGATGCCTGAGCACAGAGCCAGGAGTCAGCCCTGAGCACGGCCGGTGTGCATCGCCCTCCCAAAATAAAAGAAACCCCAGCACTCAATCACTGTATACACTATTCGAGTGCAACAGTTGCAACCCCAACAACGCAGTCGGGCCGCCCCGACCTGATCGGGGCATCTGGGGTCAAGTTTCGCCCCGGTCCCCACCTCCAGGGATTCCCGGGACGTCCACGAGGGGACCGCATAGGTCACTCGACCCTTGGCGGAACAGAGATAAGGCACGCAGCGCTGCCCAGGACGGACCAGACTAGGAGAGCGGACTCCACTCCGTGGCCAATCAGAGAACCGAGCCTAGGAAGGTGGAGGCGGGACGCCACTCCGCGGCCAATCAGAGACCCGAGCCAGGAAGGTGGAGGCGGGACGCCACTCCGCGGCCAATCAGAGAACCGAGCGTAGGAAGGTGGAGGCGGGACGCCACTCCGCGGCCAATCAGAGAACGGAGCCTAGGAAGGTGGAGGCGGGACGCCACTCGGCGGCCAATCGGAGAACGGAGCCTAGGAAGGTGGAGGCGGGACGCCACTCGGCGGCCAATCAGAGAACGGAGCCTAGGGAGGTGGAGGCGGGACGCCACTCCGCGGCCAATCAGAGAACGGAGCCTAGGGAGGTGGAGGCTGGACGCCACTGCGCGGCCAATCAGAGAACCGAGCCAAGGAGGGTAGAGGCGGGGACTCCACTCCCCGGCCAATAAGGGAATGAGGCTCCGGAAGTTGGAGCCGGGGACCCACACATGGATGAACAAGACAGGGCACCGGGATCCCTCCTGGCCTAATTGAGCGGAAACGCAGGTCGGCACGGGAGCGAGGGTCGCTGAGACATGCTTCGTGCCGGCTTCGGGCAGGGGCGTGCACACTCACCCGCGCATCCCTGTGCAGGTTCCGCTCTCCTGGCAGCCGGATCCCGGAAGTCGGAGGGACCCGAAGGGAAGGGACCAAAGCAACGCTCACGCTTCCTGCAAGGCCCGCCCACCCCCGACCGGATTGGATAGTTCTCGGGACACGCCCCCCTCCGTCAGGCTCTGATTGGATGTTGTTCGGAGCACGTGTCTCCATCCCCCGCCTCCTTCCCACTCCCTTGGCCCGAGAAGCCGATTGAGTCTCAGGTCCAAGGACCCAGTCCTGGAGCTTCCTTGCTCCCTCCACGGGTTCGGGCCCCGGGCTCCAGCTTGCTCAGTATCCGAGTATCGGATACTCTGAATGGAGCATCTGCAAAGAAAGTCTCTGGTTTGAGGAGGAGAAGCCCCAGGGTTCTCTACCTTTCTTAGGAGGAGTTAGGCTCAGCCAAAACGGGGAGCCGTATCCTGCTGTCTCTGTTGGATACCCTTCCAGGAGGGGAGATGCATGCTGAAAGTAGACTATGGACTGAACATGATTGCCACTCAGTGCCTCTTTTGCAGACTACAACACCCAAAAGGAGAGAGAGAACAAAAGAGAATGCCCTGCCACAGAGGCAGGGGGGGATGGGGAGGATGGGGGGTGGGAGGGATACTGGGATCAGTGGTGGTGGAGAGTGGGCACTGGTGGAGGGATGGGTACTTGGTCATTGTATAATCGAAGCCCAAGCACAAAAATTTGTAAATCTACAACTGTACCTCATGGTGTTTCACTAATAAAAAAATTTTTTTTTTTTTTTTAGGGGCTGGGGAGATAGCACGGCAGGTAGGGCGTTTGCCTTGCACGCGGCCGACCCGGGTTCGATTCCCAGCATCCCATATGGTCCCCTGAGCACCGCCAGGAGAGACTCCTGAGTGCAGAACCAGGAGTAATCCCTGTGCATCGCCGGGTGCGACCCCAAAAAGCAAAAAAAAAAAAAAAAAAATTTTTTTTTTAAAAAAGGGATACTCTTAAGCTAAAGTTTGTGGTCAGCAGATGTCTTGTGTCGTGGAATCCCCTATTAAAAATAATAATAATAATGATAAAAGTTTACTTTTAGTAAAGCGTCAAATAAAATTTGAAGCTAAAAAATTTAAATATAACTGTCCCGTCCCGCAGGATTAGTCAACGTGGGTAACAGGGAGAGGGTGAGAGAGTGAAAGAAACAGACAGGCAGCAGAATTAGAGTCTAGTGAGCCGGAGCTGCTTTATTGTAAGTTCAACAGCACTTATATACCTTGAGCTTAAGCTCTGTTCCTCGTAGCTTTGGGACAACGCCAGATAAGGGTGGTCATCGGACGGATGGGGGAGATAACAGACTAGCAGGGGCTTTTCAGAAGGCTCCTCGCTAAGCCACTGGCTGACATCAAGAATGTCACGTACTGTTTTTTAGTTCCTATTGGCCAACCATCCTGTTCTTGTAAAATGCCTTTCTTAACCCTGTAAATATTTTATAGGCAATCTCTTGCGAGAACTATGTACCCAAGAGCCCGCTCACCACATCTCTTCCCTTTCTTTATTTTAAGGAAGGTAAAGTTGTTTTTGAAAGGGCATTAACCAGCAAAGGAGAATAGAGGCCTATCCCCCTTTACGGCCCTACTGGGGGCCGGTCGACAAACTAGACCCTCTTCATAGAGGGGAGGAATTTCCAGGGTCTAACCTCTCTGCAGATAGGCATGTTCTTCGGCAAGGGCTTGGAACCTGCTCAGGGGTTCCCCTTGCCTGCAGATAACTCCATTCCGTGCTTTGAAGGTGCCCTAGCCCAGGAGGTGGTTGCTGGTCCCAGGTGCCAGCGGGCACATGACCTGTTAAGGACATAGGGGACCCGGTGAAGCACTGAGGTCCTCGCTGTATCCCCTATCTGCCAGGTCCAGTCAGTGGTAATGGACCTGTATGGGTTTAGCCTACAAGGAGTCCAATTGTTGCTTGATGGAAGTAGTCAGGCACCAAGAAGCCCATGGTCCAAAGGAAGTTAACAGTAAGAGCCCGATCAGAGGACCAAGGATAGTAGGTAACAGAGTGGTTAGCCAAGGGGAAGTAGAAAACCAAGTTTGAAACCAGCTTTGTTCCTGGTCCCGTTGCCTCTTGCTTTTCTCCAGGCCCTCCCGCACTTAAGCCATAGAGTCCTTCACCCGCCCCGAGTGGTCCATGTAGAAACAGCACTCTTCTTTCAGAGAAGTACATAGTCCTCCTTGCCGGAGGAGCAGCGAGTCAAGACCTCTCTGATTCTGCAACAACATTTCAGCCAGGGAGGTCATGGAATCCTGCAGAAGGGAGATGGCCGCTTCCATTATCTCGATGTCCTCATCTGTGGGTATTCTTCACAATCACGATCAAGACCATTCTGTTGTTCGTCGATTGCCTCGAGCAGGCCCCAGTAACGTCTCCTTCGTCCTAGCCCTGAGATATTTTTTTTAAAATGCCATATTCAAGGCTCTTTCAGGGTGAGGAGAATAAGACTCATCATTGTTACTGGTATTTGGCATATTGGGTACGCCACGGGGAGTTTGCCAGACTCTGCCATGTGGGCAGGTTACATTCAGTAACCTGCCAGTTTGTCCAAAGTAAGAATGAGATAATAAGATAATAAGATGTCCATCCACTCTCCACACACATGAAGGTACCGGCAAAGGAACAAAGGCATGCGGGTCCCGGGGCTGAAGATCTCCAAGCCTGCTCGGATCGGGGCTGAGCATCCTCCACCCAGATCCTCCATATTCCAGTAGGCAGGGGTCACACCCAACAACTGGCCCCCTGGCACCGTGTAATCCCATCAACGGCCAAGACCCAGAGACTATAAAACCCAGCTCCCGGAAGAGAACAGCACAGAGTCTCCTGCCCCCACACCTGGCTGTCCTTGCCAGGGCCCTTTGGAGGGGAGCGGGTTGAGTTTCCCTCCCCGCCCCGACCAGGGATATTCTTAAATCAGAATAATATTTGTTAGATAACACAAGAGAGGTGATAACCGCACTGA